TCTATCTATCTATCTATCTATCTATCTATCTATCTATCTATCTATCTATCTATCTGTTAATGGCAGGATCATAGTTAAGATGTCAACTTTTATACTCTCTAATAATAGATAGAATGTCAGCTTATCAAACGGTATGTCAGAAATATTGTTATCAATAGCGTTTTTTCGGTTGTTCCAATTTCTTAACAGTGGCCTACTTCAACTTCACTTTTAGTGTTATTGTTTTACTCTTCCCGTCAACAAAATTTAGATTGTCTTGAAGGTGGGCTCCCGGCCTTGCATGTCGTTGGCTGAGAAGGGATGCAACATCTCAAACAGATAGGCCGAGGTACTCCTCCCACTATGAAATCGAACTCCTTCAATGCTGTCATATTATGCTTACTGCAAGGACTACTATACTAGTATAGTAGTCCTTGGCTTACTGCAATTTCCTTTCACGGCTGTGGATTCAGCTCAGGAGCCTGGAGTGATGTTACGTTTCACGTTCTCAGTTTAAGGATTGCTTTAAGACTAAAGTATCCATCTTGTGTTGTTGTTGTTTGTTATGTTTGTTGTTGTTTTTTACTTTAATTTTTGTTTTCAAATAGGCAACTTGTTCAGCTGAGAATGACAGCAATATAAAAGGTGAAATCAACACATGATTTTCTGCTTCCCGATGGTATGAAAACGTTGGTTCCCTCGTACAATTGTAACAAAATCAAGCATCTAAACTACCAGGCTACAAATAGTTTGCTGAGCATTTCTCACAATGGTGTAGCATATTCAAGGCCGGGTGTTCAAATCTTGAGGATAATTCAGACGTTACGCGCCGCATTCCTTATGATAAACAATATCATTGCAGTTGTTGATACTTTGATTCGTGAAGAGAGATGACTGGAAAGTCGTGATTTTTCTGCCTATCTTGAAATCCAGTAGACTGTTGTTCATAGAATTGTGTATGAAGAACTTATTTGCCTTAAGTTTCGCTCGCTGGGGGCCAAAACAACTGACTTAAAATCACAATGTACACGAAGGCATGTCAGACACTTTTGGAACGATACAGCGATGGCATTGATGGCCAAATGAAATCTGGTAGAGAAAATATGAGAGCTTACGGTGATGTCACACGACTGGTTAATGGTTGACTGTTGTTGTGTTTTTTCTTGCGGGGGGGGGGGGGGGGGGGGGGACAATCTGATAACAGTATACAAAACATGGGTGCTTCATACCACTATTAAGACAAGGAGGGAATTCCATTAAAATTTTCAGGACACACCTAATCATAAAAGCCCCAAAAGTTCAAGGTTCAGCACTGGGTTATAAACAGTGTTTTGCTTCAAGTCAATCGTATTTTGATCAATCTATTAATGATACCTATTATTATGAAACACTTAACAGGTTGAGGGAAACCCTGCGTCGAAAGAGACGAAACCGCCCATGGAAGGGCATCATGTTGCAACTTGACAAAAGCACACTGCATAGCACAAAACTGACAAAGAATTGGCTTCGAAAATACATTTGGGACTTCCTGTTACATCCACCACACAGTCATGATCTTTTTTAAAATGCCTCTTCAGATTATCCCCTATCTAGCCCCATTAAACGACACTATGTCAGAGGGCAAAGCTTAAAAAAAGGAGTAGATCTCATTGAAAAAGTGAAGAATTGGTTGCAATCTCTTGACAAAAATTATTATTTGAGGAATGATATCTATTCCCAAGCGTCTGTGGCGAAAATGCATTGTTCTTCAATGGGATAACATCGAGAAGTAGATAGATAGTGTGGTTATTTTTTGCAGATGTTTCATAAGTTTAAACTCATTAGAACTTTCCCAGTTAAGATCATTTTCCCTTTATTTCGGAACAGTCCTCGAATGACGTTACTGAGGTCTTTTCTGGGTAAGATGCCATAGGCATGAACTTTTACGGTGTTTCTGAACAACCGAAAAGAGAAGCCAGCACTTTAAAAAAAGAGTGTTTAAGGGGCATAAACCAAAAATACCAGGGTATATTAAAATAAATATGTAAGTTTATGATATATGTGGCAACCACCATTTACTTCAAGTAAGAAGCAGGACATACAAGATAGGAGTGTCAAGAACAAGGCCCTACAAGTGGCACTTTCTAACTCTTTATCTCGATCCCATCCCAAGTTAATTCCTTCAGGTTTTATCTCCAAACCCAAGTTCTGTTGTATCACCAGGGCCAAATCCCAGAGATTAGTGAATGTTTGCACGAGAAGAAATGATGGTGTACCTAATGGCTTTTCCAAAAATACATTTATGCATTATATCTTTATTCTTTTCTAACCACTTGCAGAGAGAAACAAGTACTACAATGCCAATGACGTCATCAATTTTATTGGAGAATATGTTTCTGTTTAGAACGCAAACACAGCATAACACTCAAAGTCAAAGGTAGCCTAGGTGAATTGTAGAGCCCATGACTTAGTGTTGCGTCTGGTTACTCGGTAGCCTACCGAGTGTCCTTATACATATAATTAGAGATATAACAAAATTCAAAGTTAAAACACCCCCAATGGACAATGGCACTCAACGCACTGGGATATGTTAAAAGTCAATGTTATAAGCTCTAATAAACTATTTTGGTATTTGAAATTAAGAGTTGGACTGAAAATCCGAGGAGGCAAAATTGGTGGATATAGATTTAGAAACTAACATGAGAAGATAAAAAAATGGAAAAAATCTAGACTGACAAGGGTAATCAAGAATAATGTCTAAATTCGTCGGATGAAATTATAATCGTTTCACCCCACACGATATAGCTATTTACATTTCCTAAATCAAGTCAAGTGTAAAATGAAAGAAAATGTGACACAGGGTACACGTGCAGTAATCAGTCAGCATGAGGTTTCTGGCATATTATTTGGTAGTAAGGCACACGCATGACGAACGATTTGTCTTTATTGCCATCTTGCCACTCCTTAAATCTGAAAACAAAAGAAAATATAAGAAAAGGGAAATGAAAACGGAAAATTGACATATAACAACAAAAGGAAGAGAGTATATAAGAGAAAAAAGGACAGGAAATAAGGACAACATTAATAATTGTGAGCAGAATAATAAATGAGGCGTTCTAGTTTAGTAAGAGTTTTACGTCGCTCGCAACCAAATAAAGTCAAATGAACGCGAAATGAAGTGTAAGAAAAGAAAAAGTCTACAAAGTGACAATGTGGAGAAATGATGAAAGGCAGGAAAAAGGCGGAAAAGAAGAGGACAAGGTGCGATCTTAGAAAGGACTCTGAAATAAAGCAATACTAAGACAAATCAGCTTGAAATTGTTTTGGCCTGATTCCACAGCGTCGAGACACATAACACCCTTCAACACAATCTAGACTGTTTTATGGGCGAGTTGTTACACGTGGAGGGGGGGGGGGGGGCGGCATCCATCCTAAATGGGATCAGACGCGAAGCGTCTATATAATCAAATAATCACTGCTTCCCTTCCTTTTTTTGAAACATTGTCGCAGTCAAATTCACCCATAGACGTAAACCTCATAAATTAAATGTAAAAAGACGTTCATAATCACCAATGAACAATAGACTATGCCTAACCTTCAAAACCGTTTCATTGCCACAGAAATAGCCTGTTCGCCCCTATCGGGCCACTCCATAAGCAGTCACAAGCTTTGATTAAGTAAGCTTAAAGTGAGGCTGGAAGAGTCAACCAATAGAGTTAAAGGGAACATGTGCATAGCAGTCAGAACTGTTTCATTGTCGCATATACCCTGTTCACCGCTTTCGGGCCACAGTTATAAGCACCCAGACGCGCTGATTAGGTAAGCGAACTATTACACTGGTCGAGTCTACCTCACAGATGTGAGGGGAACTAACTCCTAACTCCTAATAATCCTTTGACTCCTGCTACTACACTGCTAGTGCTTGTTTTTTCCCCTCGACTTTTTAACGTCCTATAATCAGATCATGACCTCGATTATGACACCGGCTCCTGGCCGCGAAAAGCTAGACAAAAAACAGCCAAATGTGAAATAAAAAATTAATAATTGGCATGCTCTACCAAAGTGTTTCGGCTGTCTGGTATAACATGCCATTGTAGTGCTGACATCTCGGCTTCTTTCCTTGATGTTCGTGTGTTCAAATCTAAAGTTAAATTTAAGGTTAGTTAGAATAAATATTTAATGAAATACTTTCCCGATTATTTTAGCGGTTGAACAAGCATACAACATGAATTCAGGATCTGTTTTCATTCACAACTCAGAGGTGCCGCCTCCAGTGCCAGTAAGATTCTTGTGACTTGTGTGAGTGTGATATCTCCAGGCCCTATCTGGTTCCATTTCACTTTGATTACCCTGTCAAACAAGTCAGCCTTCGCCCCTGAATGGGATACAGTATTCCAGCAGTGAAGAGGTTAACGTGCGCAACTAGCACACCGGACCTCCAAAACTTTTCATTTTTATCCATTAGTTCGTTTTTACCTACCAAGGATAGCACTGAAAGGCAGCAGCAGTAGTAAGAAGGAGCCGCGAGTAACCGTAGAAAAAGTCAGGAGTAAGGGAGGGGCAGAGAGTGGGCCTGTGGTGGAGGTCAGGGGAGGGATGAGGAGGAGGAGGAGGAGGAGGAGGAGGAGGAGGAGGAGGAGGAGGAGGAGGAGGAAGAAGAAGAAGAAGAAGAAGAAGAAGAAGAAGAAGAAGAAGAAGAAGAAGAAGAAGAAGAAGAAGGAGAAGGAGAAGGAGAAGGAGAAGGAGAAGAAGAAGAAGAAGAAGAAGAAGAAGAAGAAGAAGAAGAAGAAGAAGAAGAAGAAGAAGAAGAAGAAGAAGATTGACAGCATCTCAGAGGAACGTTTCCAAGCGCCAGTCTTCAAACGACTTACAGTTCATGTAATCTTTCGTCCATGTCCGGATTCTCCTTCTTATGCAGTGCATATACATGCACAGTCTTCCACAACTCTAACAATGACGTAGCAGTGTGCGTGCTTTTAGCATACGTAGTGGGGAATCTGGAAAGGCAAGTAAGGATACGAGGGTAGATCAAAAAGTAATGGAAAATTTGTCATACACAAATATTTTTACTGCTATGAGCCTGAAATGTTCAGTCTCCTGCATACAACTGTGAAACTTACAGTAATAGTTAGCTTCCGCTTTGCTCCACAGCTCCGATTTGAAAGCTCTTCCAAAGTCCAAATTCAAATGCTTTCAGACTATTTAACTGAGGCAGTACCATTTACACGTGGTTAGAATACGCCATAGTAGTACTATATGTTATGGCATCAGCCACAGGGGGGTCACTGCATTATTTTTTTAACCAATAAAAAGCCCTTTTACTTTGAAATCTTGTCTCCTTCCTCGTCCATCAAAATGCGATTCAACTAATTTGATAGAATTCCCCCTCCTCCCAAAAATGTGAATTCATGTTTCGAATGCCGTAAGTAAAAATCTTAAAATCGTTTGGGCCAATAACGTTCATATGAGCAATTCTGAAGCCATCTTACCCATTTTATTCTATGTTCCTCAGTAAATGGGGTATCCAACGGCCAAATATTTTTTTAAAAATGGAGTTCTCGAATAATTATATTTTGTACCAGCCCTAATGAAAATCTAGACTTGTCACGCAAATTCTTAGAAAGAGCAGGTACGTATGACATCCACTTTGTTCTCGTTCGGAAAGGAATTTGGATGGCCAGAACATGGATCATCAAAAAAAGTATCCCTTACTTCACGAAATTCTCTTACCCAACAACAAACTGTGTTATAAGAGCAAGCTGATGCTTCACAAAAATCTCTGCAAATTCTTTTGAAATAAATTTTGACGATTCGCTATGTTTACAGCGCTAAAGATGTTGAAAGGGCTCTTTTCTTTTATAAACTCCATCTTGTTTCCTCTAAAGCGCTAACCATCCTTTGTGAGTGACATCATAAAATAAGAGTGACTCCTGACAAAGATCCCCGCCCCCTCCCCCCCTCTCTCTCCAGAAATAGTACATAATATACACATTCATACGGACTCATAACCGTAAGGTCGTGGGTTCAAATCCCCGTCATGGGCCCGACATTGTGTCCTTGGGAAAGGCGTTTTACACGATATTCCTCACTTCACCCAGGTTGGAATGGGTATGCAGCAATAGACAGTGAAGGATCTTGTGTTTGAGCGCTAAATCAGCAGCTTGTACTGTATGCTTCTCGGGAAGCTAAGAATGTTTTGGGGTGTTCTTTGGTCTGCAGGAGTAATAATATGTGAGGTAGCGTGGTGAAATCAGGCGCTTGTCAAAATAATGAAATTGAGGAAATTGGCATTTTTCATGCAGTTTGTCCATTTTTATAGAAAAATTGTTGGGTTTTTTTTGGCTCCACACCTTTTATGTCCATTTAAAAACCCGTATCTATGTGGGTTTTACTGAAAAACAAAAAATGAAAATTGTCAGTTTCCACGGACTCTCAGGCTATGTAAATAACCCAATTTTGGCGGCCATTTTCTCTGCAATTTTACCCCTGAAACCAAGCGACTCCCACTCCTTCAACAGCAAATATCTCAACTTGTATTCAAGATAAATAAGTATTTCGTTCATCGAAAGCAAGGCACGTGCACAAGCTTTAAGGCGATACCAATAACGCCACATACCCAAAAATGGACGAGCGCCTAATTCCGCCACGTCGTCACACATATAGTGTAAAGCGCATAGCTTGCTGTTGAACGGTACGTCATGCTATTTACTATCGATTTTGTCATTACGTGTATTTATTATATCACTCAGACGACGCAGATACTCGTACAAGAGGCAGGCGATAAGCACGTAGGTCCCATATAATATCTCAAATAGCCTTAGGGTAAATGTCACTTGAGGGTCATCGAACCCCTACACTTGTACTTCTCTAAAAGAGCCTATCACACACCCACACGTTACACCATACTAAAGAGGAAGGTGGAAATTAACCGGAAGCAAAACCTAGCCGGAAAAGAAGAGATTCTGAAATAGCAAAATGCTTAATTTTCTTTTTTTGATGGAAAACTGTCCCTTTCTAGGAAATTGATCGAAGTCAAAGTATGTATGTATGCATGTATGTATGCATGTATGTATGTATGTATGTATGTATGTATGTATGTATGTATGTATGTATGTATGCATGTCTGTGTGTCTTTCTGTCTGTCTATCTGTCTGTTTGCGTGTGTGTGCGTATGTATGTATGTATAAATACAAGAGCTATGCTAGGTGACGGCCAAAAGCGCCTTGTTCCCACCCTCCACGCCACTCTCACTTCCCTCCTGTCTTAACAAAGATGTGCCCTAAATAACTACATTGATTATGTTGTTCGATAAAATATTGCATATTTTCCACTTAAACTTCTAAAAATGTGCGTCCAAAGGTTCAGATGTATTTAAGTAGCGCCAAGTGGAATCCGAATAAATTGGAAGCACTAACGGCCGTACGAATACTTAGTGATCCTGACTTTAGTGAAGTAGTGAATTAAAAGATTTTATTTAGTGTTTTAGGCCCATTCACCCACATCACATAAACTATAAACTTTACAGAAGAGACTCTCATGGCAAAAGCATAAATCATGCATGAGATACATCTCAGCAACATTTTCACTCATTTGTTTTGTGTTATGAAAAAAACCCACATTTCCATCATAGAATAGTACAGGATACTTGATTTTGACAAGGGTCTTATTTCACCGCAATGCCACACAAATCCATTAACTCACTGTGTTACCTATCTTTCATCATACCGAGTGAAGAGTAGTGGAAAAAGAATCACGTAGGCTACCTTACAGGATTCGGAAAGGGTAAATCATGGTCCTTGTAAGCTGAAGTCATATCCTTTGTTTTCTCAGGATGCTGGTCTGGGAAAAGACTCGGTATCTAAAAAAGAGGCAAGATTTAAGCATACGTTAAGAATTTGTATAAACTCAAAAGTAAAATTTCTTGTTTCTTCCTCATTACACCCCGCTCTCGCCCCCCCCCCCTCCCAAATTGCTGTTACTACTACTACTACTACTACTACTACTACTACTACTACTACTACTACTACTATTACTACTACTACTACTACTACTACTACTGCTACTGCTACTGCTACTGCTACTGCTACTGCTACTACTACTACTACTACTACTACTACTACTACTACTACTGCTACTACTACTACTACTACTACTACTACTACTACTACTACTACTACTACTACTACTACTACTACTACTACTACTACTACTACTACTACTACTACTACTACTACTACTACTACTACTACGGCTACTACTACTACTACTACTACTACTACTACTACTACTACTAATGCTGCTGCTCCATTTCCCCCCTCTTTCTGCATCCTCTTTTCCCTCTTTATCCTCCCTCTCCCTTTTTCTTTTGCATGTTTTATTTGTTCTATATTCTGCCTTTACTTATTTGAGAGAAATCCCCCGGGCACCTACCTCGTGATTGATTATTTTCGACACCACAGGATCGTCGAATAATAGATTGCTACCATCCGAGGTAATAATGGACAAGCAGCCACCAGGTCGAAGAAGTCTGTCTACCTCCGCATAGAATCTGAGAATTATTTATTAAAGTTTTAGTAAAGTTTTAGGGCGCCTGCTACTGCTTAAGATCATATGAGTGCCAAAGGAGGATGTCAGCAGAGAAGTCCAAAGGGGGGATCAGGCTTACTCTGCTCACCTCTCTAGCCTCGACAGTACAAAGTTTGATTCGACTATCAGGGCATCCCGGAAATAGCATTTCACAAGAAAGTTACAAATATACAAAAAAAGTAGAGGGGAAAATGACGATAGTAAGGATTAGGAAAGAAGAAGCAGTAGTTCCATCTATGTTGTTTCCGCGCAGTATGAGCATGACATTGATAAATTAGCACATTTACAGTTCTACTGTGCATAAGAACATGTTAATACCCTTCCCCCCCCCCCCCCCTTTGGGAATGGCTGAAAGACAACTTCAGCCAGTAGCATTGCCCTGGTGGGGCGGGGTGGGGGGGGTGAAAATGTTTGAGTTGTTGGTGAATTCCGGTTTTCAATTGTGTGCACGCGAGCTTTGTGTGTGTGTTAGTGGATTGAGTTTTTGAGTGAATATAAAGTTTGGTCTTGAGAACCGGCGAGGATCACGAAAATTGTGTCTGTGAAAGGGAAAACGGACGTCACGGACGTGCATTTTCTTTTCTTTTTCTAAACCAACCAAACAAACAACACTGTTTAATATTGTGAAAATCGTTCCAGTTCTGGAAAATGGCAGTGGCAGTGAGGACGGTGAGGCCAAAGTTGCCTCTCACCTCAGATAAACAAAGAGAACGAAACTGAAACTCAAACCCACTCACTTTCCTTTGTCCAGCCAGTGGAGGGCTGTGGCTATGTTAATGAGGTCCACGGTTCCAGTCTCCGCAAAGTTGAACGGTTTGTTGCAGTCCGCCACCATATAGCTCAAGTTCTCAAGATCTCGCGGGGCTTTGGCAATCTGAAATCCACTTCCGTCCACACCTATCACCTGGAAAATGACGAGGAGAACCAATAAAATGCAGCATTCTAAATGTTGGTATTTGACATATTTGTGCATAGCGCCCAACTAGTTGGGCACGGTGTTGACTGCCCCCAGTTTGACAAATAACTGCATGAATCAAAATACAAGTATCATGATGAAAGAGCAATTGAATTTTATGCCACATAACTTTTTTTGTTTATCAGAGTGATTTCGCTTTGTTTGATATCCAATATGGCGTTCAGATCATCAAATAAGAGTCATACAAATCAACCTTCAAAAGAAAGGTGAACCCCAAAGAGCACTTTTGCATATTTTGCAAAGTCTTTCTATTTTTTTTTCAATATTCAGACGTTTCCTTTTACCTTTCAGTATGTTTCATGCCTCGTGAACTATTTTTTCTTACTAACAATCATGTTTTTCATGGTGTGGTAAGCCGTCCAATTAGTTGCAACTGCAAAATCAAGATTCAGCCAAATGTATCCAGGCAACTATCTGTCACTTTAAGAAAGAAAATGCTGGAAGGCTAAATCTTTGCGATATTCCTATACATCACAGAGACATGGACTTTGACAAGGAAAGAAGAAAACAAAATAAATGCGTTTGAGAAGTGGTGCTACAGTAGAATTGCTTGAATAAGTTAGAAAACAAAAAAAGACCATCAAAGAGGTGTGTCAGATTCAAAACAAAAGACAAACCCTGTTGAACAAAATAAAATGTAGAAAAATACCATGCTATGGCTACTTAAAACGACACGAGACCATTGTGAAAGAGGTGCTTGGAGGAAAGATGTTGGGGCAGGAGAGCCTGAGGAAGGCAAAGAATAACATAGACATAGATGAACAGCATAAGAACATGGACTGGGTTGGATATGGCAGAATGTGCAGCGGCAGCTCGAGACTGTGAAAGATGGAGGGTCATTACACGGCAACCTCTGAGTTTGAGATGACACCTCCATGTATGCTGGTATTCATGCACAAATGGGTT